CCTGTTCTTCCTTGGCTTTTTTTTTTTTTTTTTTTTTTTTTAATATATAAAAGAAATGAAACTATGGATTGAATATCTGGCTTCCACAATCATCAACCTCATGGTCTCCAAGCTTCCTCTCAGGTCTCAGGGCCCAAGATTCCAAAATCACCCGATTCCCTGAGTGTTGCAGGGAACCAGAGTCTGTAAAACTGAGGGACCCTCCTTCCCATGGCCTTCTGGACTCAGGCTATATACGTTCCTGGGTTCCAATCTCAGCCCTGTCTAGTTGGATGACCTGGAGTGACCGCCTGGTCCCTGAGCCTCTGTTTCCCCGCTCTGAGGAATGGGTATATTAGCAATCCCCGCCAAGCCGCTGAAGCCCCAGTCCTGTCCCCCAGGAGATGCGCTCCGTGCTGCGGAAGGCCGGCTCCCCGCGCAAGGTCCGTCGCGCGCGCCTCAACCCGCTCGTGCTGCTGCTGGACGCCGCGCTGACTGGGGAGCTGGACGTGGTGCAGCAGGCCGTGAAGGAGGTGAGTGCTGCCGGACAGAAGGGCGGGCGGGGTGGGGGCGGCAGACGCTGGATAGCAGCCGCGGGACTGAGCCTCTCCGTCCCCCGGCTCGTCCAGATGAATGACCCGAGCCAGCCCAACGAGGAGGGCATCACCGCCCTGCATAACGCCATCTGCGGCGCCAACTACCCCATCGTGGACTTCCTAATCGCGGCGGGTGCCAACGTCAACTCCCCCGACAGCCACGGCTGGTGAGTCCCGACCTCGCGCGGCCGGCGTGGGGCGGGGAAGGCGCTGCGGGCCCCAGCGCGGCCTCTCACGCCTGCCTCCCTCGCCTAGGACACCGTTGCACTGCGCGGCGTCCTGCAACGACACGGCCATCTGCATGGCGCTGGTGCAGCACGGCGCGGCAATCTTCGCCACCACGTTCAGTGACGGCGCCACCGCCATCGAGAAGTGCGACCCCTACCGCGAGGGTTACGTCGACTGCGCCACTTACCTGGCAGGTGCGAGGCAGGGCTGGGGCGCCTCGGTGGGCGGGCTGGGCCACCTCTGGGGGAGGGCGTCGCGGGGACTGGGACGCCCAGCTGGTAGATGTTGGGCGGGGGAAGGCGGCAGACTGCGGCTCCTGAGAGAGGACGCGGGGGGCTGTACCAACCTTGTGGCAGCATCACCGAGGAGGGGCCGGCGGGATGGACCACCTGCAGGGGTGGGGCCCTGGGCCTCCCACCTGGCAGGTGCAAGAAGGGTGTGTGGGCGCAGCAGACTGTGCCACCTTCGAGAGAGGGGGACAGGGGAACTGTGCCACGCAAGCTGGACACCTGTAGGGAGGAAAGCAGGTGTGGAGACTGCGCCGCTTTATCTGCTTTCTCATCCACGGGGGTGGGGAGTTGGACGTTCCAACTATACCATCTACCTGGCCTAGGGCTGCGCACATGGGCTGTGCTACCTGTGGGAAATACAGCACCACACAGGTGAGAGGTGAGCAGGCCATGGCTTCTGGGGAGGAGCTTGGGGACTCTTCCGCTCCTAGTGAGACACGAGGCTGTACCATATATCTCCGGTGGGGGGTTGCACATCACTTAAACAGGTGATGGGAGGAACTAGGTAGGCCGTATCCTGGGGAAGTGCCTAGGGTCTGTAGCGCTCACCTGGAGGGGCCAACTCTATCATAAGGTGGGGTTGGGGACCTCAGGGAGTTGGGGTAAAGCAGGCTGTAGGACCTGGGGGTGGGCCAATGTATTTGGGAGGTGAGCCTGGAGGGACTACACGACAGCCTGCTGTGCTGTGGCAGAAAGTGGGTGGGAGCCATGGGGCTGTAACACTTGCCTTAGTGGTGAGCAGCGGCAGGCCAGGACCGCTGGGGCGGGAAGTGGACGGTCCACTGAAGCTTTGGGAAGGGGGATTGTGACCACCTTTGTCACAGGTAGATGAAGCCTGTGAGACAGGAAGATTGTACCTCCTACCTGCCTGGACTTGGAGAGTTCTGTGAGGACGAAGTAGAGATTGAGCACCACACTTGCCGGGGGGAGGGGTGGTGGAGAGGAGGAGAAACTGGAACACGGTGGACTGAACCATTAAAGAGGGGGGAGCATGGTGCACTGTACAATCTGGACGGGGGCTAAATCCTTGATGGGATTAAAGGGGGGTTCGGGTGGCCTATACTATCTGGAAAATGATTACATCCTCTTTGAGACTTTATCTTTTGGGGAGGGGGCGCAGTGTGCGCTGCACCATCTGGAAAGGGGGAGTTGGGACCACTTTGTGAGGAGGAGTAGGGCTGAACCATCTGAAGGAGGGGTTGAGTCATCTACGGAGACTGTACCACTTACGAGGGGGTGGGGTGCAGACGACGGTATTTCTAGGAGTGATACAGGGACTCAACCAGATATAAGTGGAAATGGGGACCACTGACCCTGCCTCGGGGGTTGGTGGGCCGGCTTGATGCACCCCAGTGTTCTAGAGACTGTCAGTCCTGGCAGCTGCTTCCAGCTCAGGCCCCCCCCCACCTCCAGACACGGGTACACAACTTTTCAAGTGGCTCATTCCCCAAGGTGAGGCTGGCGCCAAATCTCAGGGTCTGTCCCTGTCCCCAGCGCGTCGTATCCCTGAGTGTTCCCGGCCCCCCTGAACCGGGCGCTTACGATCCCTGCGGTTTCATGTTTCAGACGTGGAGCAGAGCATGGGGCTGATGCACAACGGGGTGGTGTACGCTCTCTGGGATTACAGCGCAGAGTTTGGAGACGAGCTGTCCTTCCGCGAGGGCGAGTCGGTCACCGTGCTGCGGAGGGATGGGCCAGAGGAGACGGACTGGTGGTGGGCCGCGCTGCACGGCCAGGAGGGCTACGTGCCCCGTAACTACTTCGGGGTGAGCCCAGAAGCGATATTGTGAGGAAAGGGGTGATCCCACGGGAAAAAGGGCGAGAGAGACGGTGCATTACACTGGGGAGGAGGGCAGGTCAGAAGAGTCCATTATCGGTTGTGGGGAGGTGAGGATGAGCCCATTATAATAACGGGGGAGGTGAGGGAGATCCCGTTTTAGTTACGGGAGGAAGAGCCGCTTACTGGCGGTGCTTCGTGGGGTACTCACCAGTACTGCCTTCCTAGTTATTTGACTGGTTCGTGCTCCACCCAATATTTTTATTATCCTAATTATATTCATGGGGAGGTAAAGAAGAATGTATTCTAGCCAAGGGGAGTCATGAAGAATCCCATCCTGGTGATGGGGGGCAGTTAAAGAATTGTGTATTACAGGCATGGAAGCCTTTGTTACACTGCATTGGGCAGGGTAAGGAAGAATCCATTAATAAAATCGCGGTAGAACTGAGGGAGATACTACTAGGTTAGGGGAGGAGACCAGGAAGATCCCATTATATTCCTGGGAGAGAAGACGATTCCTTTAGTTGGGGAATAGGTGGAGGTGGGTCCCAACCAGACAGCCATGGTGGTAGGGAGAGGCGGGCGTCTTTTTTATGGCCGTGTGGGAGACTCTGAAATACTCCATTTCATCAAGCCTTATGCTGATTGGAAGGCTCCAGCTGGTGCTTGCAGCTGACAGGGGATTCTGGTGTGGTTTGGGAGATACTGAGACGGTCCATGAGGAAGGGATGGGAGGATGGAGACAGTCCACGTGTTTGGGGGTGGATCAGGTGGCTGTATTAAGTTTGGGGTGGAATGAAGGGGTGGGAGCTCCTGGTGTCTGAAGAGCCTGTCTTCCCTCAGCTCTTCCCCAGGGTGAAGCCGCAGAGGAATAAGGTCTAGCTGGAGAGAAGGACTTTTCGAAGGGAGACAGGAGAAAGCAGCAGCTGCCTTCATTCCACAACTCCTCCTCCCTTACTGCTGCATCTCTCTGCGCCCCCAATCCTTGCAGGGACGAGGTCCTTGCCAACACCGCTCTGCTTCCCTGGAAGCCCTGGGAAGAAGGAGAACCCCAGCCTTAAATTTAGAAAACTGCCTTAGCTGTGGGAGGTCGTGGTGGGGCTGGGAATCATTGGGGGCAAGAGAGACCCCCCCCCATTTGCCAAGCCACACCCT